CGTGCCATAAAATCTAATACGTCATCATTTGTGCAGTAAACTGCCCAATTATGAACGATTTATTGCAACATAAAAGGTCATTTATAATTCTGGTACACAAAGTTGTCATGACGTTTGTCATATTATAAATGTTTTATCTCCAGCCGGATGAGTTATCCAACTACTACATTTTACAGTATACTAAGGAGGTCGTGTGATGGATTGTGATTATGATATGTGATACAAGTTGGCAATATTGTGAAATTAAAAGAGTTTTCTAACAATCACCTCGACTATTCAGTTCTTAACATTCGACATATTGTAAAGTTTAGAAAGTATCCAATATCAGCCATCATGATAGTGGTGTAATGATTTGAGAGAAGTTTACTAAACAAATAATTGATGAGTAATTGATACTCTTTTTGCCAATTACGATGAAATAACGCCGTTTGCGTCCTTGGCACGTATTTTTTGTTTTCAAATCCGAATACTGGCACTTCATTTCCCTCTCCTTCAAGGTCTGTTAAAAGCTTCATCAATCGTTTAAAGCATTGAATATATTTGGTAAATATTCATTATCTGGTCAGAAAATACTTCTATATGGCGTATGACATCTGTGACTTCAATTGTTTGAACGCATGTATTAATCTATGTGTAATGTAATATTGATCTGTGTACAACATATTTAAATATAAATTATAGTTTAAATATACAAAAAGGATAATTTTTACACGGATAAAATACACGGTATTCCTGTCTCAACATCTTTTTACAATACTTGTTACGTAAACAGTCATTGCATTGCGATTATGACATGAAAGTTAATGTCAAAACATCACGTATTGCAGACGGTAATCGATATCAGGGGCATCCACACTCCTAGTGGAGTTTGGTAGACTTTAAAGTTTTATGGGAACTATTTAAAGAAGACTTAATCAGGATGGTAGCTATTTCACTGACTATTTCCTTCATGGATTGCAATACGACAAATATCGTTTTATAATAAAATAAAAAGGAACCATTCCATCGTCTAAATTGAAAATTTTACATAAAGAATTTTGCTCTCATCTTACAACAGAAGATCTCCAAATGTTTTTGATTTGTTTTGTTGCTTTAAATAAATATTCCATGACCACTTGTAATAAAAGTTTCATCTTTTTAAATTTATTTCTACCTGTTCAACATATTTCTCTCTCAGGTGTTTTAGTAATAATTAACTGAGGATTATCACAGCAGAATTGAAGTAGGAATTATTAAGATTTAAATTTTCAAAAGAGATGAAGTTATAAAAAATTGGTTTTATAATTGAAAAGTAGAGTAGAAGGATAATATACGGTAAACTTACAGTTTAAGGGTGATAAAACGTAGCTTTGTTAATTTTGATAGAATGTCTAGTGGAAAATTATGTTTGGCCTAAATTGAAAGTGTGGGTCTGTTGTAATTCATATGAGTTGAATAACTGAAGGTTTTGTGAACGTATTAGAGAGTGGAATGTATCAATTTTAGTTCATTATGAAGTGGAGAGTTGAGAATATACTAGGGTTCATAAAAAATTTTTCGGATAAATTTATTTTGGAGAAAGTGTATCTTGTAATATGTGTTTTGGCAGCATTAGATGAGATGGGGCAAGTTTAAGTAAGAGTAGGATGAATAACTGTGTATAAATGAATTTGCCAAATGAATGTGAATTTATAGTTAGTATAGGGAGTGTTATTTATAAATTTTAGTGTTAGCTTTATGTATAATATTTTTGATGTGGGCATTCCATTTAAGTTTACTTTCTAATAAGACTCCAAGATATTTTATAGACGTGTTATGTGATATCCTGGGTTTAGCTTCATTAAGAATTAATGTTTCTCAAAGGGTGATTGGTTTATAGAGTAAAGAATTTAGCCATCCAAGTTAATTTTAATTCGCCATTGAGAGGTAAAATGTATATATAGCAGGAAGTCAAATTTTACTCTACCTTTGGCAGTTGATATATTTTTGTGACTAATGAAGAGAACAGTAACATCACCAAAGATGGCTAAATCTGAGTATATAAAGTTGGGAATAGCAGAGAGATAGATGCTGAAAAGTAGAGGGAGCAGACAGGACTCCTTAGGCAAGCCCGAACGAATTGGAAATAGTTGGGAACAGTTGAATTAATTTCAATTCGATAACTGCGATCAGAAAGAATATTTTGTATTATTTCGCAAAAATGAGTAGGAATTCCAATTTACAGTAATTTGCAAACAAGATCATATTGACAAATTTTGTCGAAGGCCTTCCCTATGTCCAGATAATAGAATAGTATGTTGTTTTAGATGAAAGAACTTTTAATTTTTTTCCGTTTGTCATAAATGTTGACGAGTAGTTACATGCTGATGAAGCCAACTTGAGTGGGAGGATTAATTTGTTAGTTCTAGTGAAATGCAATAATTTGTATTGTATAAGGGTTTCAAATATCTTGGAAAGAGAGGAAATTAAAGCAATAGGAAGATAGTTCGAAGGATTTCTAGGATCGTTTTGTGATTTACAAAAGTTCGCTCTTTTCCAGGTAGATGAGAAGTAATTAAATCTCAATGCAGGATTTTGAATAGAAATAAAGACAATAAGCAATAAAGTCATTCACTGAGTAGTTTGATCGTTTGATTTGATTATATCAGTCCCTGAACATTTAGAAGTTTTAGTGTTTCAATAACTGATGAATTTCAGAAGAGGGGAATAAAATCAAAATTTTGTGGAACATTAAAATTTGGTATGGAGAGAAAATTAATAAAGCAATATAGGATTTCCGGCTGGATATACTATTTAAAATACCTTCCGGGCTTATATCAGACATATAAATATACTATCCGTGAAATCACGGCCATTAATCCAGGAAGGTCTTTTTAATAGAAAGAAAATTGCTAACAAGATTGTGGAAGTGAATATGAATGGTTGTATTAGGAGTAAATGTATTTTGGAAATGACGATCGAGTAGTTAAGTTTTATCAAGTTATTTAGAGCTATAGTTGTATTTTAAGAATTGGAATATAAGTTTTCTTTACTAATTCTTTTGAAGGTTGATCAGAGCTTATTTGATTGGGCATGAATTTCTTGGATAAAGCATATTAAATTTGCGTTGTTCCAACTTATATTTTATAATTCTGATTATTTTATTTAGTTTAGTTTTAATATCTGGACGTCTGGTTGTTGCCAGATCCGTATTAGTGAATGTTTAGTTTTAGTCAGATTAACAATATGTCTGAGTTTAATCTGGAAAATTGGGTTATTCATTACCACAACGAACACGAACACCACTTGGTTTATTTTGGTGGATTATTGGGAAAAGTCTAAGATATTTTCCGTTCTGCTAGGTTAAAGAAAATTTACCGCAAGATATTTGAAAAGCCAAGACATCTATTTGTGAATAACTAAGCGACGCTTCCAGAGTTGAGTGTGTTGGTAATGATACTGTTTTTGCTGATAGTGACTGTTGGTAGTGAAGAAAAGTATTGCACTCATATTTCATTTCAATCCCGTCGCTCCATATCAAGAAGATATAAATTAATGGGATCGGGTGATTCAGTGGTCATTACAAAGTTGTAAGTCATATCACAACAGATATCAACATTCATAATAAATATTTGGTCTGATAAAGATAGAGTAGAATAAAAATTAGAAAAATATTATAAGTCTTTTGTTAGAATATTAGTGAACCGATTCACGAGAATTATTTCGATAAATACATGCTATGTGCGAGTCTGAATGTGTAGGTGATAAGAGTGTTGCCTTCACATTGAGATGGTGTTACAATAGTACATTCCAGGTGTTGTAATACTCGTAGATGAGCAGTTGTGGAAGGAAGCCTGAAGAAATATTATACAATGGAACTTCAACAATGAACATCGAGTATTGCTGCTACTGTCAGTAAAACACAGTTGCAGCAATTGATATTGCTATATCGAAAGATTCAATATTATTATTATTATTATTATTATTATTATTATTATTATTATTATTATTATTATTATTATTGATTTCAGGCGCATCGATACTCCTGCGGTCATGTAGGTCCCTGAGTGCAGTGCATATTACATCCTGGGAGGTAGCGAGGTTTCTGGAATTCTAGAGAGGGATCAGATTCCTGCCTACACGTATGCTTGCGGGGTTCTCTCTTCAAGTATCTCCACCAGAGAAGCGCCGCTCCAGTCTGCACAAACTACAGAAGTTCCACCCTATGTAATCTGGTGCATACAAGCGTATGTGTGCGTGTGTAAGGGGAGAGGAGGGGCAAGGATGAAGGAAAAATCCTTCGCCCTTGATCGGGTGATGCAGCGTTGAACAGTGAGGTGTCGACGTTTCGTGTAGCATATCATGGCCTCCTTCAGGGCTGCAGTGCGCCAGAACGTTCGAATGACCGGTTTATATACTAGATGGGCCAGGCTGTGTGTGGCTAAGGTGGCCGGCGGTGCCGACCAGGTTGAGAAAGGTTGATTGCCGGTCACCTAAGCCAATCGCAGCGTGACCCTTCTAATACATAAACTGGAGCGCCCAACGTCCTGGCGCACTACAGCTCTGAAGGAGGCCCCGTTACCCGAAGAGCCCAGATCATGACACTGGCCACGGAAGTCTTCGACATCTTTCCCTCGGTCTTGTTAGCGGACTGCTCCGGCCTACACTGCCAAACTTCCACATGTGATTGAAGGGTGGAAAAGTTTTAATCTACATTGATTGTAATTAAAAGAGTGACAAGAAGGCTGGTAAAGTGTACACCAACCTTCAACAATTTTTTGCGACAACGTGTTTAAAAGAAACTCAGGGTAAACAACTACAAATTTTTATTACAAACGTATATTGTATGCTCTAAGGGGCTTACACATAGAACAAACAGTTCACCGGTAATACTATTTAGATTCCCTGATTGCTTTAGAATTTTGAGCCTTAATATTATAGCATTACCTAAAGTTTCAATACATACCATTATGAGCACTTTGTTCGCCGCCAACTTGTGGTCTTGCACTTCCTTCGCAGGACAGGACGAGTACTACCAGCCCCTTCAACAAGAAATCGGAAACTTCAGAAAGGCGTAGAAACCATACATTGAAAAATAAGAAAACATAATGTTCACTTTAAATTTTTTTAACTCTTGAATTTAGTTTTTACAAAATGTTGATGAGACAAAAGTTGATAATGTTATAAGCAAATTCGTTCATAAAATTTCTACATTTTCATTAATTGGAAAGCCTCGTATGTTACATTTGTAATATTCTGAATCTCCATCCACAGTTTTTTGTTTTTATCAACATTTAAACTTAAAATGTCATTAACATGTATGGCTTGTTGTCCTTTATCTCCATTGAGGTGATTAGTAATATTCGCGAAGGTTTAAGAGTAAGTTCAAGGAGAGTTCATATTTAATGAGGGAACTGAATACGCACAAGTAGCAAAGTAAAACTATTGGAGTTAGTGAATGGTACAGGTTTTCTAGCACTTGTTAGTTCCCTAATCTCTTCAGTCTAGGCAAGTTTTTCAACTTGGCCTCACGTCTTTCCAGATGCTATTTATGGATGCTTAAAAGAAAACTTCACATTTTCTAAAATTATCAGTTTCTTAATAGCTGAACTGAATTATGAGAACTCTAAGAATATTAAACTCTCAGAACGCTAAAACGTGAATATATATGCACATTTTCATTGAAATATTTGGAGCTTTTCATAGCAAACTCTTGTCTGAGTTTCTGAAAAGACACAATTTGAGCTGAAGTTTAATATTTTTCATGTTTATGAACAGAACACAATAATGTTCAAAATATTGTGATGGAGCATATTCATACAGATAAAGATAGGGAAGATTTCAACAATGTCTTAACTTTCTGTATTGTGAGAACATCCAAGCGATCAATGTTATTTAATATTACTAAGATATATTAAGGCTCTGGGCTTTCGTATTCAAGTTATTATTACGGGTCTAAAGTAAGTAAAGAAGGAAAACAACAGTGCCAGAAGGTTATTTTGGAGACCTTTAAAGATGTCAATATAAATGACGTGTATATAAATCCGAACTGCAACATAAGACTACAACTTAAAGCCGACAAAACTACAATATTACGAGTTTCGAAAACTCAAAAATTTCTGTGAAAAAGACCTTCAAATTTCGAATTTACAGCAGCTCTTAAACGCCATTTTCTTCAAACTGTACCCAAAGTTTTCAAAGAAATATACCATTTAAGATGAGGTTTTGCTGTTTTGTAATATTCTTCAAATAATATTTACGTTTTACTAATAGGAAACCGAACAATTAAGAAGATTTTAAAAAAGTACTTTAGGCGGCGATAGATGGCAGCTGGGGAAAAAATGTGGCAAGCCCGAATAGCCAGCCGAGACCAAAGGAAATAGAAAGCTAATTCGCGAAGGCCTCTGCCAGTCTGTAGCACCACTAGTTTATTTTTTCGCATATTAGTGTGTTTTAATGTAAACACGTTTGTTTGATAAACTTATATTTTGTATATTGTATTATTTCTTAGAAATCTACTGCCAGGCCACCTTTAGAACAAATATATCTAACTCACCTTTGAGTAAGGTGGCCTTCGATGCGTCTAGATTTAGTGGGAGAGAGGAGACAGAGTGGCGGCATTGAGGGTTAGAGGCGTAACTACAGCAATCAATGGTGTTGCCACTGATCCCAAGGCCAGATACATTTTAACGATCAGGATGATTTTTTTTATTTATTCATTAGAATATCCCCTAAAAGTAGCCAAATTTGCTACTGCATGTCTAAAAGATTTAATAATTGAATATAATGAAACTTTACTTGGTAATATTAATTTTCTTAGAGGAGTACTTTGAACTGATCTGTGGTACACTTGGCCTAGAACCAAGGTACAACACTTTCACAAAAATATGACAATTTTGGAGACAAAAACAATAACGTCTGAAAAAATATTTCGAACTGCAAGTCTGATCTTAAATGTTTTTGTGGAAGTGAGTAAATAGACGACCGGCGAAGTGAAGAAAAACTAATTTTAAACTGCTATCAAATAAAACCCATGTAGTAGATAAAACCCATAAAAGTAGTCCACGTGACTTAAGTGTTGGTTCAATCGTACCTCCTTTAGTCACCTACTTAAATTTCAGAGACATTTCCTAATATTAGTCGATTTTCTTCGCTTAGTTACTATGAAATTAAGTTTATTCTGTTATCCCATGTTTCAGTTCAATATAATTTTTCTAAATTTAATTCATGGATGACGCAAGAGATGGTAATTGGATCACGGTGAGATTCAGACATTAAATAGGTACGATCATATTTCAATTTTAAAAATCTGTTTGATATAAAAATCTCAAAAGTGCACGGTTTTGCATTTGTTAGATTTTTAATTTATTCATTTTTTCTCTGAGTAAAATAACAGAAAGTTTGTTCTGAAAAATGTTTTATTACATAATATACTAAAGATTTTGATTTTGATTGTTTTAGCTGTTTAATACCGTGGCGAAGACTTGTGCAATAATGTCATCAAATCGAAGTTCTTGGCAAACATTTTGTGACGGTTCAGTGGTTGGCATTAGAAACGTCATGCTCTAAAGCGTTTACTTGAATAAAAAAGAGAACATAAAAACCCTAAACATAGGTTACTCACGGTTAACCGAGCTCTTTGCGGCGCAGTTCCTGACAAAATAAGGGGTGAAAGGCAACTTTACCTTGAATAAAATCCTAAAATCATTCTCTGTTCAATACTCGACAAGAAAATATGGAACGCGAGATTTCCAGACATCTTTTGGGAATAATATCTTATTACAATAATATTATGGTGTGCGGAATAACCAATGTGGGTTTTTTAAAGAGTAATATCTATTTTATGTGCACATAACTTGAGCTCTTATTCACATATAATTATCCTCATAGCTATTTTGCAACAAACCTGCAGTTAAATAAATAAATCTACAGTAGTAGATGAGTAATTCATTTTTCAGTATGATAAGCGACATGGGATGTATTGAAGTATCTGATATAAAATGTTTATTTTGTGAAACCATAAACAACAATTATTTTAATATTTGAAATAATATTGATTATTATCAGAAGAAAGTTGCACTCCCATTGTATGTAATGTACATGTTATGTACATGATACAAAACAACAAATTAAAATAAGTTGTGTCACTTTTTTTCATATCCAACAGAGAATGGTGTTTATTAATTTAATAGCGTGACGCAATGTCAATTTGTACCACATTAGTTTTCATATGTTACTTGTGTACATGTTATATATTTTTGTTAGGTGGTGAATGGCACGATAAGTACATATAAAAAAGATGTTTCAAAATAATTCACATTCAAAAATTCTAGTGTCAAAAATATTACATGTGTCGAAGTATCCCTTATCTGCTCACTTAATGGTTGAATATCTTAGACTAAAAAGGCAAACATTTAGAAGAGTGAGGAAGAGAGTCTTTAAGTCGTAAATTTCATTAGGAGAGGTCGTACTACGTACGTATTTTGCAAGCACATGAGGTATAGTCACGATTGTGTATCGAACGTATATCGTGATTAAACATACTCTTATATCACTCTTACTTTTGTATATGATAGATATGTGTTATTGAAACAAAAGATTAAAAATAACCCAAAAAATAAAAACTCCAACGAGAAAATTGGAAAACCATTCTCCATTCAATGAACGAAACACACAGGTTCACAAAACAATCACAATGAAGAATTTGCCAAATAATTAACAATCAGATGAACAAAAAACACTGAAACGATCCACAACATACGTTTCGGTGCTTTGAGTGACTCTAATATCACAATCTGTTTGTAAAATATTTGCGATCCACTCACAATACCGGTTCACTTCTCACAAATCGTTTCTTATTTCAAAAGGCGGGTAAAGGATAAAGTTTGGAAGATGTATATAAGAATGCTGGGAAGTGCCAGTAAATTCGCAAACGGTTTGTGAAAAGCTATATGAATGGCGATAGGTTGATTTCGCTCTACATCCCGCTGATATTATAAGCAACAGAAGAAAGAAGATTGCCCAAGTTTGGGACGCCTTGTATCTTCCCGAGAACATTAGATTAGATCTTCAAATCATTTCATTAAAAATTCCATAACTAGCACATAGATTTCACACTTTGTTCTTATTAATAATGGAAAACTTTAAAAAAGTGGTTTGAATTGCATGGGACATGTAAGGGCGTTCTTGATGTTTTATAGGTTTATGACGACTCAAGCGCCCCTTAACTCTACGCAACACGCAACACAGTCAGGATTAAGCGCGTCTTCACTGCATACAAGCATGCTGCCCCTGCGATTGCGAAAAATCGGCCGGAATTATGACGAATCGTGAACACGTTCATCCAGATAGTGTCATAGTGAACTTAGGTCCAAATTTGAGGGAAAACTTTATAACAATAAGATTCTTGACAACTATGTCTAAACCAAGACATAGAACAAACCCATACTTGTGAGAATGTTTTTCATCTAATAGGATGTTTACACAGCGTATCAAAAAAAGTTATATAAACCACGCGACGAGCAGAGTATGACATGTAATACAGGAGAGTAACTAAGAATTGCACGGTCCACAAGTAAAAAATAAAAACAATACCGATACTTCGCATTAACGTATATAATTAATCAAGCAATTAAATTAACGCAAATGAATTAACATTGATTCAATACAATTCGTACAACCTAAAAACGTGAGTGAGCGTGACGTGCCCTAAATGTAGGTGCGGCATCAGGGCTGCAGCAGAACACGAAGATAACAAATAAAAATACTGATACTTGCAATGAACGCGCATAATTCACCAAGCAATTGAATTAACAGAAATCAACTTATTAATATTCAATAACATTTGTAGGCAACTGTGTGATGGCATAGGTGTGCATGGTGCTCCCTACCTGCAGAAAGAGGAAGATAAACAAAATACCGATTCTTTGAATTCAGGTAGAAATTCATCAAGCTATTGAATTAATACAAATGAATTGAATAACGTTGATTCAAAACAATACATTAACAACTGAGTACCCAAAGACCTACGAGTGCGCATGGC